TTTGAAGGTTTTATTTTCGATATTCCAAATAAATATCTCAGAATTTATCAAAAAAGAAATCATTGAAAAAAAAATCAATTATATTGTAGAATAAAATCGAACAATGTACAATTGCAATAATCTCATTGACTGAATGATACATTGAGTGAATTCAATACGAATCGATTTGTTTTTCTACACTCAGGCTAACTGATGCTATTTTGGGTGATTTACATTCAAGTTACCGATATACATTAGCATCAATGTGTGGTTTTCTTTTGATTTCATTCAAATGAGGCTTTTCGAGAGAACTTTCGTAAAACTGACAAAAAAATGCTATATTTTAATATGATATTATCTTCAGAAAAATATTCTCAAAACGGCAGATTCTGAAATAAATGCTGCATAATAGTATCTCTTCTCAACTATACATAGGTGGTAATATGCTAAGTTGTGAATTTTATTTAATTTTTCATCAATTTAAGTTAATAAATGCATGAAATCTCTTTCATCGACTTGGGAAAAAAGCTAAAATTGTCTTATTCAATTCGATCTGGATCCGATGTTTCAATTGCTTTTTTTTATGAAACGGTTTGATCCTAAGCTTTTAACCAAATTTGAACATGCTTCGTGTTATTGTAGGGCTTGATATGTTTACTCTACTCTAGAAATCTTTATTTTTCGCTATGGTTCTCGTTAACATACAAATGATATTTGCTTTCTTTTTGTTTCGAATTCATTAATGCACTGCCAACCAGTTTTTTATATTAATTACTTTGAGTAGAATAGATTTCATGTGTTACAGTACTGCTTACTTTATTGTTTATTGTGGGAATGTAAGCATTCTATATGGAAGAAAAATACAGAAAAAACTTTTTTTTCATAAACAGACGACGTTCAGTTTATTATTAAAGAATACATTGGCTTGATGGCAGTGTCAATGTGATAGATTTTCTAGATGATTGTTCATAACCATCCAGTCAGGAAACATATTCGGACATTTGGAACTCACAAAATATACTTTATCCACTCTTTTGAGGCCAATTATTTTTATTTCAGATTGAATCTGTTTTTTAACTGCTTCTTGTTCTTCTGGTTCAACTTTGTCAAATTTGTTGAAAACAATATCATAATGTAATCCAATTTCATCCAAGAGTTTCATCATGCTTGAATTTTCTCTCACTGTTGCTTGAATTAAGATTAAACGTCGTGAAAGACCTTTAAAGAAAGAAATATATTCCATACTGAAATAAGATACTTCATCATTTCGACCAGGAACATCCCAGAGTACGAATTTTGTTCCATTGTATGGTTTAATTTTTGTTGTTGTTTCACCAACACCAGTACCAGCGACCTTTTGACCAAGAAGAGCATTAAGCATAGTTGACTTGCCAGTTGATGTTAAACCAAACAGACCAATGTTAGTGCCATCTAATGGGATAGGCTCAGTCGATCGAGCTAATTCGATAAAAACTTTCATCGCATCCTTATCGTGTTCCGCAAGAGTTTCAAATGAATCGATCTTCTTTCTTTTCATTTCTTCATTAAGTTTTTCATATTGTTCGAGTAGCTGGGCATGTCGTTCACGATACTGGGTCGCTTCTGCCCGCAATAGAGCCTCTTCTTCTGTTTCTTGAAGAATTTGAGAGACGTCTGACTGTGGTATAACACTCGTCTGAGATGGTACAGCACTTAAATGTGATGGATTTGCATTAATGGCATATAGTTCAGTTGTTACCTGATGTAAATTCGGCTCTTCGAACGATATTAAATTCGGTTGCAGATTTTGATCAGTTATTGTCATATGCTGAAGTATTGCTGGATTTTTTTCAGCTTGATTTCGACTTCGTAAGAGTTCGTTGCGGAATTGAGCATTCTCCTCGGATAAATGACTGTATTCATGTAGTTGACGACGCAATAAAGCATTTTCTCGTGAGAGTTGAAGACGACCTATATAAAACGATTTCTTAGATATGAATCTTTCACTTAGAAAAATCTTGCTAGTTTCATTGTTTAAAAAAAATCAATGAGATAGATTCAAAAACACATAATTTTTTTTCTGTTAGATTCGATATAGAATAGAAATTAGAAGGGATTTTTTTATTTTCTATTTTTGAAATAGAATCAGTACAAAAGATATCAGTTTCAAACAATGCGAACCATAAATGATCGAAGTTATCACGAACATAAATTTGGTTTGATACATGCCGGATACGACCTTAAACTAACAGTGTGTATTCAAAAGTTGACGAATTCTAACTTGTTTTATATGTTTTCTTCTGTGTTCGAGTCTATTGTAGACAAACTTCTGTTCTGATTAAGTTTTCTCCTGCAGAAAAAATATTTGAGCTGCATAGATTTCTTAACAGAGCCCAACCTCAGTTTCAAAATAATTTCTTGAAACCGATCAAATAAGTATGGGTCGTTTCATCATTTCTAACGTTAATACATCATTCAAACATGCATCTGATAGAGAAATCTTTCCTCTTTCAGTTCATGTATTTCGAACTTGTTTTAGTAAAAAAGTACGGTTCCAACACTTAGAATCGATTGGAATCGAAAATATGGAACCGTATTTTTTTCAATACAAATATTTTTGACACGAAGGATTATTGTGTGTTTCTAAATACATGAACTGAAAGAGAAAATATTTCTCTACAAGATACATGTTCAAATAATGTATTAACATTAAGAATCATGAAACGACCCACACTTCTTTGACCGATTTCAGGAAATTATTTTGAAATCGGTGTTAGGCTCTAATTTTTTCAGAAACATTTACGCTGAGCTTTTTTTCAAATGTTTCTCTATTTATACATGTTTTTTTTGTGAGAAGACAACATAATAAGGATTTATAAGATAAACTTAAATTGGAAGACTAAATGCCCATCTCAGTTACTTATCTAATAGACTAAATTGAAGCCTACTTATGACAAAATATTCAAGTAATCATCTACTTTGAATAATTGCAATAACTATTGTGCATTGAAAATGTCTCATTCACTTGTGTAACTATACTGATAACAAGAAAGTTCAATGACCTACTTTGAAATGAATTAATCGTATTCATCAGAAAGGCCACCACTTGAGAACGAAACGATATTGGTTTAGGACTAATGTGTTTATTGATATTGAAGCCTGACATGAGAGAAG